CGGGAGGCGGCGGCGGCGGGATCGACCCGCTCGCCTCCGCCGCCTCCGCGGTCTTCCGGGCGTCGTACGACCGCGTCAACTCGTCGTCGCCGCCGCCGCCGCCGGAGAATCCGATGCCCAGGCCGCCAACCTTCGACCGCGCGCCGCCGCCGCCGCCGCCGCCGCCGCCACCTTTCCCTCCGCCGCGTCGCGCGGTCAGCTTCAGCAACGCGCCGCTGACGTGCTGCGCCGCGCCTCGCAAGTTTTGAACCAAGTCGCTCAAAAACTTCCCCGGCGTGGACGCGTCCACCAGCGTGAACGCGCGTCCGTCCGTGTCCCCCGCGCGTCCCGTCCGCCCGATCCTGTGCACGTGCGACTCGACGTCCCGCGGCGGGTGCAGCGACACCACGGTCCGCACGGACGGAATGTCGAGCCCGCGCGCGGCGACGTCGGTCGCGACCAGCGCGTGCGCGTCGCCCTTTTTGAACGCCGACAGCGCCCTCTGCCGCGACGCCTGAGGGTCGAAGGTCCGCGCGAAGCGACAGACGTCGGGGTGGAGTCGAAAGGCGTCAGAAGCGGAGTCGAAAGGCGTCGAGGCGTGTCGGGATTGGGCGGAGAGATGCGCCGGGAGAGAAAACCCTCAAGAAACGGCGTTCACCACGCGAACGGGGTCGTATGGGGACCAGTGTAAACATGGACGCGCCTGATCCATGTCGCCGTGGACGCCCTCCGCGCGAACGCCCGCCTCACGCAGCGTCGCGACGACGTCGTCCACCGCCTGCTTCCGGCTCGCGAACACGATCACCTGCCCCTCGTCGACGAACGCGTGGATCCTCTCGCGAAGCCACGCGACGCGCGACGCCTCGCCGGGCGCGACGACGTCCACGGTCTGCGCGACGTCCGCGTTGGCGCCGCCGGGCCGACCGACGGTGATCGTGAGCCACCCCCCTCCTCCTCCTCCTCCTCCTCCTCCTCCTCCTTCTTCTCCCTCGCCGTTGCCCGTCAGGACGTCGCGCACGAGCCCGCGGACGCGCGGCGGCATCGTCGCGCTGAACATCGCCGCCTGCCGATCCGGTCGAATCGCGTCGCAGATCGACCGCACGGACGCCTCGAACCCGAGGTCGAGCATTCTGTCCGCCTCGTCCAGAACCAGAAACGTGACGCGCGTCAACGAGAGGCCGTTTTTCGTCTTGCACAGGTCGACGACGCGCCCGGGGGTGCCGATCGCGATCTCGCCGCCCGCGCGGAGGTCTTTGAACTGGTCCTGCTTCGACGCGCCGCCGAAGACGCCGACGACGCGGACGCCGTGCGGTTTGCCGAACCGTCGCGCCTCGGAGACGATTTGCGCGGCGAGCTCTCGGACGGGCGCGAGCGTCAACACGATCGGTCCGTCGCCTTTCGCGATCTCCGGCTGCGCGAGGCAGTGGTGCGTCGCGGGGATGAGGAACGCCGCGGTCTTCCCGGAGCCCGTCTTGGCGATGCCGAGAACGTCGCGCCCGCGTAGGAGCGCGGGCAACGCGCACGCCTGAATCGGCGTCGGCGACTCGTACCCTCGCTGTTTTAACGTCCGCAGCGTCACCGCGTCGACGCCGCCGCACTGCCCGAACCGCTCGATCATCCGCGGCGGGTCTCGACCGACGATCTGCACGTCCAGCGCGCGTCGTCTCGCTTCGACGTCGCGTTCCGACCACGCCGCGACGTCGGGGTTGTCGCGAGGGTGGAATTTTTTTTGAAACGGCGCGTACGCGGCGGCGGCGTGGTCGACCCTCCCGAGCGGCTCGATCGTCCTCCGATCGTCGACCCCCGCGCCGTCGCGGTCGTCCGCGTCCGCGTCCGCGGCGGCCGCCGCGGCGTAGACGTCGTCGTCGGAGTCGTACGCCAGCGCGTCCGCGTCCGCGACTTTGAACCCGCTCTTGGCGAGAAGTTTCGCGCCGAGGCCGAGGCTCGGCCCGCGGTTCGCGCTACGCGTCGCGGCGTTCGTCTTCGTCTTCCGCGCGCCCGCGGCGTCGCGCGCGGCGAGGAAGCTCTCGATCGGGTCGAAGTCTTCGTCCTCGTTCGCGGCGTTCGGGCGTCGATTCGCCGTCGTCGTCGTCGTCGCCACCGCCGCCGCCGCGGGGCGCCGCGACGTCGACGGCGCGGGCTTCGTCTCCTCCGCCACGCCAGCCATGAACGCGTCCAACGGGTCGACCTCGTCGTCGTCGTCGCCGCCGCCGCCGCCGCCGCCGCCGCTCGGCGCCACCCCCAGCTCCGCGTCCACGGCTTTGTTCAGGAGGACGACGCGCGAATCGTCCGCGCGGTGCGGCACGTCTTTCATCTCGAGGAAATCGCGCAGCTGCTCCTCGCTCCATCGCGCGAAGTCCCTCGAGAGGACGTCTCTCGGGTCGTCGTCGTCGTCGCCGTCGTCGTCGAGCCCGTCGAGTCCGTCGCCGTGGAACCCGCGGCGGTGGGCGGCGCGGCGCGCGAGATCGCGATCGTCGTCGTCGCCGCCGCCGCCGCCGCCGCGATCGTGGTCCGCCTCGTGGTCGTGCCGTCTCCGCTTCGGCGCGAGCGCGCGCGCGTTGATCGCGTCGTAGTCCATCGCCCTCGACGCGACGCGACGCGACGCGCGTCGTCTCCTCCTCCTCCTCGCCGCCGCCGCCGCCGCCGCCGCGCGCGCGCCGAGGCGTCCGTCGACGCGTCGCCGCGGGTCGTGCCGTCGCGCGCGGGGGATGGCGTCGACGAGGACGCGCGACGGGAAGAAACTCTCGCACGCAGCAGAAGAGATGGAGACGGGCGCTCGCGGACGGTTCATCGGATGTCGCTCGGTGAAGTGCGCGATTCGAAACGGCGCGAACATTTTCAAGCCTACTGTTCATCGCGGACGCCGGTCAACAGCTGCCGAGATGAAATTTCGCGGGAAACTCGCGACTAACAATTCCCGAGCGCCGTATCTTCCAACCTGGAAGGCACTTCGGCACAGATAACGACATTCTCGCCCGCGCGCGCCGGCTCCGAACGACCTCGCGCGCGGATCCCGGCGAGGGACGACGCTAACGCCATGGCGGCCGCGCTGCTGGCGCCGCACGCGGCGCCGCGGCCGATCGCGCCGTGGCGCCGCCGCGCGAGCGCGAGGAGGCGTCGCGTCGCCGCGCCGGCGCATTCTCCGTCCGAGACGACGCCAACGTCATCATCGATCTCATCGTCCATCTCGAGACGACGCGTCCGCGCGCGTCCGTCCCTCGACGACGTTAACGACGACCGCGCGGGAACGACGATGGGTCTCCTCGCGCCGACGCCGACGCCCGGCGCGCTCGGCGGCGCGTCCAGAAGGTCCCTCCCTCGACGCGATAGGATCCTGTCGCCGCCGACCGCGCTCGGCCGACGCGCGCGTCCCGTCTTCGGAGGCGGCAGGAGATCCTCCAGCGTGTTCGAGCTCCAGGGCTCGTCGCCGTTCGTGGAAGACGCGGACGAGGACGGCGCGCTGTCGTGCGACCTGAGCGATCGCGACCGCGTCGATCGCGGGCTCGGGCTGAGACGAGCGCTGTCGGACGAGACGCAGTCGCGGCCGTTCCAGCCCCTCGGCGGCGAGGTGCTGCACATCGGTTGGATGCGCACGGAATCGCAAGACACCAAGGTGAGCCGAAGCGAGGCGGAGCACGACCGCGAGTGCATGGAAGCGCTGCTCGCGCACTACACCGTGGAGCCGGACAAGCAGCAGACGATCCTGGACCGCGTCGAGCGCGGGTGGTCGGACGTGACCTTGCGCCTGGGTCAGGGGTACTACTGCCGGCTGCAGCGATTCTCGGAGTTCGACACGCTCACGCTGAGCGGGCCGGGCAATCCGGACGAAGCCGTGGACGCGCCGTGCCGCCCGTGGCAGTGGCTCCTGCCCCCCGGGTGGCTCGCGAAAGTCCCGGGCCGCGTGTTCCTGTGCTGCCACGTCCTCGCGCGGCACGCCGAGCCGTTCGTGGACGAGAGCGACGTGTGGACGGAGCTCGACCAGGTCACGCGGTCGGTGAAGTGGGAGGACCGGGTCACCGCGGCGGAGCTCGCGGAGGCGACGATGAAGGAGACGGAAAAGTCGCTCGCGAGGGAGGAACTGCTCGTCTCGATCGCGGAGCTGGAGGATAACATCGTCGCGGGGGAGCTGAACGACAGCATCGACGAGAGCGTGGACGAGGACGACGTTTTGAATCGCGTTGAATCGGGGGCGCGCGAGAACGCGAACGGTCACTCTTCGCCGGCGATGACGGCGGAGGACTGCGCGGATCCGATGGGCGCGCGCGCGGCGGAGGACGCTCGGCTCGCGGTGATGGGCGCCGGCGGCGTCGTGACGCACGCGACGAACAGCGCGGTCGTCAGCGCGGTGCAGGAGGAGTGCCACGACGTGGTGTTGAACGCCGACGGCGTGAACGACGGTCGCGCGGCGGCGGCGGCGGCGGCGGCGACGACGAAGGAGGTCTGGGGGGGAAATTCCGTCGTCGCGCGGATACGCGAGGGGGGGGACGGGACGGAGAAGAAGAAGGAGAAGAGCGACAAGAAGAGCAAGGCGAAGAAGGCTCCGTCCGCGGCGTTCGGCACGGAGGAGTGGCAGAAGCAGCAGAAGAGCAAGCGACGCAGAGAGGAAAAGACCATCAAGGAGAGTGAAAACGGCGACTCGCAAAAGAAAAACGAACGCCCCGCGTCGAGGCTACCGGAGTGGCGGACGTGGAGCACGCAGATGGAGCACTCGCGGATCGTCGCGATGTCCGCGGGCTCGGACACGCGGTTTTACGCCAACTACCACATCGACCAGGAGGGCGGGATGCAGTGTCTGCTGTTGACGCCGAGAAAAGCCTCCGTCGTGCAAGCCGCGTTTCAGCTCCAACGATTTCTCACCATCGAGCAGTACCGGCTGCTGATCTTGGCGCGGCTGCCCGCGGCGAAGGCGAGGTACCCGACGCTGTCTAAGCTGAACGACCAGTACACGTCCGTCTCGAGGCAGCTCACGCGGATGAACCAGGGCGCGAAGAAGGGTAACTTCATCGAGAGGATGAAGCACAGGTTGGAGCGCGCCAAGCGGCAGCAGGCGTTGTTCGAGACCATCTCCGATCTCGAGCAGGCGACGGCGAGGGAGCTCGCGCGCGCGAAGAGCGAGGCCGCGCTCGTGGAGGCGTACGTGGACATCATCAACACGCGGTTCGAAGAGGCGGAGTACAGCCCCGTGGGCGGGGAGGTCCGGTTCCTTCCGCCGTTCGTGCGGAAGCGATTAGATCCCGCGGTGAGCACGATTCAGAGCGTCGCGGAGCGCGCGGCGATTCTCTCGAACGCGCTGCAACGCACCACGGGACTCTTACAGGCTGGCGTGGAGGTCCGAATGCAGCGAAACTACGAGACGATGTCGTTGTACGCGCTGATGTTCACGATCGTGGGGGTGATCATCACCGCGGTGACCGCGTGCATCGAGGGGGGGGCGCTGCGCCCCGCGTTTCTGGCGTTTTGCCGATGGACCGGCGACGTCCTCGCCAAGGCTGGCGCCGCGTTCTCTGGAATAGGAGTCGCGTGAAGTAAAGCGCTAATGCGTGTTAAAGAAAAAATCTAAGCGTACTACGCACGCACACGTCGGACCTACTACGCTACAGGAACTGCTCCGCTTCCTGGTCCTTCACCCGCGTGGACTTCTTATCCCCGAACACCCGCCTCGACCACATCTTCTCCAAATTCGTCTGGTCGCGCAGGCGCTTGTACCTCGCCAGCTTGGCGAGCGCGCGCGTCGTCATCGACCGCATCTCCGGCCGCAGAGACCCCCACTCCGCCTTCCCCAACGCGTGGAAGCGCACCTGCCGTCGCACCGAGCGCGCCGCCCACGCCGCCCTGAGCCGCGCGAACGCTTTCGGGGCGAGCCACGCGCCGAAGCAGACGAATAAACACGCGAAGAAAAACGCGACGGAGTTTATCCCGTAACGCTCGAAGATGTCCTGAAACGCCGTCTCCTCCGCCGGCTCGACGTCCTTCAGCACGACGTCGCCGACGATCGACACGGTAACGCCCGGCCCCAGCGACGTCAGCGTGAACGGGAAGAAGCTCGACGGATCGGCCAGCAGCGCGGCGACTTTGCTCGACGCCTTCGCCTTCGCGGCGGTGACGTTGGCGTCGACTTCGGAATCCGCGACGTAAATTCCCGTCGGCGTCTCGTACGTGGCCACGACGACCACCTCGAGTTGCGCGGCGGCGACGCAGTTCGCGACGTTCTGACACGCCTTGCCGTCGACCAGGAGCTGCTCCGCGAGCAGCGCTCTTCTTCGCCGAGATCGAGACCGCCGTCGCCCCTCGTACACCGCGCTGCCCGGTATCGTCACGTTTGCCACCGACACGAGGTTTTCTTCGACGTCGAATTTCCCAGCCGCGTCGGACGTCAGCGTGTACGCGAACGCGTCTCTGTCGCTCGCGGAGACCCCAACCGCGGCCGCGAGCCCGCCCACTCCCGCGCTCACGCTCGAACTCACCCCGGAGAACCACACCCCCGCGGTGACGCGGACGTAGTACACCGTGGGGTTCGTCAGATCCGTCGTCGTCTCCGCGACGTCGCACGACGCGGCGCCCGCCGCCGACGTCGTGAACCCGCTCGCGCAGAGCGTGCATATCGTCGACGCGCTCGCCGCGGCGTACGACCCGACGGGGCACGCCGAGCACGCGCTCATTCCCGCGACGTTCGCGTACGTCCCCGGCGCGCACGCGTCGCACGCCAGCGCCCGGGTCGTCGCGACGACGTACCCGGGGGCGCAGTCGACGCAGCTCGCCTGGTCCGGGGAGGGTTGGTACGTCCCCGCCGCGCAGTGCGTGCACGAGGACGAGTCCGCGGGGGACGTCGGCAGCGCGTACGGCGGCGGCGGCGGCGGCGAGGGAGATGGCGACGGCGGCGGCGGCGACGGCGGCGGAGATGGAAGCGGCGGCGGCGGCGGCGGCGGCGGCGGCGGCTGCGGCGACCCGTTCGGCGGCGGCGGCGACGGCGGGCTCGGCGGCGGCGGCGGCGGCGGCGGCGGCGGCGGCGACGACGGCGCCGCGCGCTGCACGAGCACGTGATACTCCCGCGCGCTCAGTCCGTCGTTCGCGAGCACTCGCACGGTCACGGTCTCCGTGTCCGGGGCGTACTTCGACAGCGATATCGCGGACGTGGACGACGCCGTCGACGGGTCCAGCGTCGTGATTTGCGGATCGCTCACGTTTGCGATCGGCGAGAGCGCCATCGTCGCGAGCAACACCTCCGAGCTCGAGACGAACCCGATCGCGGCGGTGAACGTCGTGACGTCATGAGCTAACGCGGCGGTGAGGTAGTACTGCGTCACGTCTTGCGAGAACGTCTCGTTGAACGTCACCGCGGCGTAGGTCGTCGTCGAATCCGTCGCGTTGAACGTTCCCGCGAGCAACGAAAACGCGGAGACGTAGTTGGCCGTCGTCGGGGAGTACCGACGCACGCTGAGCGTGTAGTTCTGCGTCGTGACCCCGTCCGCGGCGAGGACGACCCAGGTCACGACGGTCGTGCCCACCTGGAGAGGGAACGACTGCGTGAGCGTGGACGACTGGAGTAAATTCCTCCTCCTCCTCCTCTTCGTCTTTCTCCGCCCGCCGGATAAGTCCAAATGCGCCGTCGTCGCCGGCGCCGTCGCCGCGGTATACGCGCTCGCGACGGACGAATACGTCGCCGTCGCGCTCCTCGACTGATACTCTATCCGCACGCTGTCGTACGCGTTGTCCACGTACACGTCGTACGCGTACACGTACGGCGCGAACGCCGGCGTGAGCGCGAGCGCCGTCTCCGGCGGCGTCGTCAGCGCGCCCGTCGTCGGGTCCGCGACGGCGGCGGGTTGGACGTACGGCGTGATGCTGTACATCTCCGCGTCCGCGTCCGCGTTCGCGGGCGGCGGCGGCGGCGCGGGCGGCGGCGATGGCGGCGGGCTCGGCATCGGCGGCGGGCTCGGCGCGATGAAACCGGTGGAGTCCGTGCGTTTCGTCCCGGGCGGGCACGCGCCCTCCGCGACGCCGTACACGAACAACGCCGCCGACGCCGACGCGCCCGTCGCCTGATCCGTCGCGACGCGCGCGTTCGAGATGGGCGTCAAATAGACCCCCAGCGTGAGCTCAGCCTCGAACGGGATGTTCGCCCACAGCAGCGCGACGTCCACGTACTTCGTCGCTCTGTCGTGCGCCGCCCACGTGAGTTGCCCGGTTTGCGTCTCGTAATGCGTCCCGAGAATCGCGGAGCCGCCCGTCACTGTGTAATTCACCGTCGCGACGAGCGCCGCGTCGCCGGACACGACGTCCACGGGGACCACCCCGGTCGTGGATGAGTTGAGCCAGTACACGACGTTGTACTCCCTCGCGTGCACGAGCGGCGCCGAGTCGTCGTCCGCGATCGTGACGACCGAGTTATCGCGACCCGACGCGTCCACGTCCGCGTTCACGGCGTCGCGCAGCGTCAGCGTGAGCGCCTCGAGCGACGCTTCGAATATCGTGTCGTTTCGTATCCACACCATGATGCTCTGGCTCCCGACGACGTTCGCGGCCCACTCCAACGACACGTTGTACACGTCGAAGTCCCGCGTGCTCCAGTGCGCGTCGTTGTTGTCGTTCTCCGCCGCCGCGTGCGTCGTGAGCTGGATCCCCTCGTCCGTGGCCTCTCCGGGTAACACTGAGGGCCATTCCATACAAAAGAAGTTCACCGGTCAGTTGAAAGGGGAAGCGATCAAGTGTTGAAACCGAGCGATGGGTGAAAAACGTTTGTATAGAACGCACCCGAGTTCCCGCCGAAGCTCGCGGCGACTTGGACGCTGACGTTCAGAACGCTCGTGCCGACGAGCTCGACGCCGACCTGGACGACGCCCTCGCTCTCCGGGACGTGATACACCACGTCCGTCATTCGAATCAGAGGCCCGGACGCGTTGAACGACACGACAGAGGCGTCCGCCGCCGTCGTCGCAGTGTACTGCTGCCCGTTGAACGAGAGCCTTAGGGCCATTCCATACAAAAACAGTTCATCGGTCAGTTGAAAGGAGACGCGATCAACTGTTGAAACCGGGCGATGGGTGAAAAACTTTTGTATAGAACGCACCTTACGACGTGCACGCCGTCGTCGATGTACGTGCTCGGGGTCGTGCACACGACGCTCGCGCCGTCGGACGATAAGACGCCGTCCAAGTACGCGACCGCGGAGCCGACCTCGGCGTCGCCGGCTTGTCCGAGCGAGCACTTGGGCGTCGTGTACGACGGGTACTGAGACAAAAAGTACAAGTTCGTGGCGTACACCGTGATCGCGGTGGCGCCGAAACGCGGGCCGCTCCCTGGCGACACCGCCAGCACCTCCGGGGCCGTGTAGTACACGAAATCGAACGACAGCGCGCACGCGTCCGCGAAGGTGACGTGCGTCGTGACCTTCCCGCTGCCCGTCGGGGTGACGCACGTCAGATGCGTCGAGTTGACGACCGTCGCGGTCGTCGACGTCGGCGTCGAGTCGCGGTAGAAATCGCACGTCATCGGCGCCTCGAACCCGTCGCCGACGATCGTCACCTCCGTCGCCCCCGTGCTCGGGCCGGACAGCGGCGACGCGGACGTCAGCCCCATCCGGCGCACGCGCGCGGTCGAGCTCACCTGCGTCGCCTGCGACGCGCTGATCGGGTAGTGCTCGGTCGGGTCGTCCGTGGATCCCTCCGCGCCGCCGTCGTTGACTGCGACGTACGAGCGAATGTCGGGGTGGAGTTGAAAGGCGTCAGAAGCGGAGTTGAAAGGCACCGAGGGCGGGGATCGAAACCGAGGGGTGGGCGCAGAGCATCGCCAGGAGAGAAAGTCCTTAAGGAACGGCGTTCACCACGCCGACGCGGTCGTACGGGGACCAGTGTACAGAAAACGCACCCAAGCCGACGGTGAGCAGCCCGCCGTCGCCCGCGGGGACGACGCACGTCGCCGTCGTGATCGGCGTCGCGTCCGTCGTGACGGATACCGTCGTCGCGTCCACCGGCGTCGCCATCGTCGTCGCGAGGAGCGCGGCGTCGTACGCAGCCTGCTCCGCGGCTTGCGCCGCGACCCACGCGTCGTACGCGGTCTGAGGGGCGCTCGATCGGCGGGCGACGCGGCGGGAAGTGATGTGATTGGTGAGTAGTTTGATGACGTGGAGGTTTCATTGGACGAGAGCGATGGAGAGGGCGCCGGCGAAAGTTCTCAAGGAACGGCGTTCACATCGCGAACGGCGTCGTATGGGGACCGGTGCGATGATGAGCGAGGACGCGCCTGATTCGTCGCCGCGGCTTCGTCAGGGACGAAGCCGATGGACGCCTCCTGCTGCGCCGCGGCCGCGTCCGCGGCGACGTACGCGGCGGACGTCGTCGCGACCAACGTCGCGGCCTCGTAGAACGTCAGCGCGATCGCGTAGTCGATGAACCGGCAGGTCAGAGCGCCGGTCGGGGCGTCGCGCGCGGTGACGGTGACGGTCGTGGTGCCGTCCGACAGCGCGCACGTCGGCGTCGCGGTGAGCACGAGGCCGGTGCTGACGACCGCGCCCACGGGGGGCGGCGACGGCGGCGGCGGCGGCGGCGGCGGCGTCTGCGCGTGCGCGGTCGACGCGGAGAGGAGGACGGCGACGAGCGTCGTCGCGAGCGCGGCGAGGCCGCGGCGTCGAGCCGACGTCGTGATTCCCCGCGGCCTCGTCGTCATCGTCGGCGTCTTCCGTTCCGGTCGCTCTCGCGGCGGCGCGTCGTCTCGCCTCACCGCGGCGCGCGGCGGCGTCCGAGCGCGGGCATCGTCTCGCGCGGGTATCGCGCGGCGGCGGTTCCGTTTCTTTCGCGGCGGGTCCGCGCCGCGTGAGGGATGCGCGCGGCTCAGTGCGTCGGCCGTTTCCGATGAATAATGAAGCAACGGCTCGGTCTCGAGCCCCGCGGCCTCTCAGGTGCGTTCAGTTCTATACGAACGTGTTTCACCCATCTCCCGGTTTCAACATTTGATCGCGTCCCCTTTCAACTACCCGATGAACTTTTTTGCACGGAATTCGCCTACTGATGATGAGACGGGAAGTGCCCACCGGCGCGGGGCCTCAGTCGATCGCGCGCGCCGACGGCCGCGCGACGGCGAGGATGGCGTCGCGACGCGCGCGCGCGCTCGTCACCGTCCTCCTCCTCGCGCTGACGGCGTCCGCGACGCTCGCGACGACGTCGGGCGACGTCGCGCCTCGCGCGGCGGAGACGACGAGAGGCGACGGAGCCGTCGAGGCGGCGAGCGAGCGCGTCGTCGCGTTCGCCTCGTCCGACTCGCGTCCCCGTCGCGCCTCCTCCGCGCGGACGCTCCTGAGCAAACCGAACACGCGCGCCAAGCCGGACTACGACGTGTACCTCACGAGAGCGCGCGCGCTGGAGGAGATCGAGCGCGTCGCGCGCGAGAACCCCGCGGTCGCGCGCCTAGAGTGGAAGCGGCGATCGACCCGCGACGGGAACTACACCGCGGCCGTCCCGATCGTGACCGTGGACTTGGCGGCGCGCGAACGAGAGGAGGGGGAGGAGGGGGAGGACGGCGGCGGCGAGCGGCCGAGGGTGCTGCTCAACTACGGCGAGCACGGGCGCGAGCTCATCACCGTGGACGTCGCCGTGGCGCTGGTGAGAGCGCTCGCCGAGGGCGGCGCGGATGCCGCGGCGCGACTGGCGCACGCGGAAGCGGGGGACGCCGCGCTCGTCGCCGCCGCGCTTCGACGCGCGATCTTCAAGATCGTGCCGATGGAGAACGTGAACGGGCGCGACGCGGTCGAGCGCGGGGAGTACTGCGAGCGCAAGAACGGCCGCGGCGTGGACACGAACAGGAACTTTGGCGTGGACTGGGGCGTGGTGCGTTCTATCTCACACTGGTTCCCATACGACCGCGTCGGCGTGGTGAACGCCGATCCTTAAGGACTTTTCCCGGCACATCTCTCCGCCCACCCCACGGTTTCAAACCCCGCCCTCGACGCCTTTCAACTCCAACTGACGCCTTTCAACTCCACCCTGACGTGACTCCTCAGCGCGCGCCGGATTACGACCCGAAGGAGGAGCACCCGGGCGCGCACGCGTTCAGCGAACCGGAGGCGATCGTCTTGAAAGAGCTCGTCGAGGAGTTTAAACCTCACGCGTGGGTGAACGTGCACAGCGGCATGGAAGCGCTGTTCATGCCGTTCGATCACAAGTCGGAGACGCCGACGGGCGCGGGCGCGGAGGCGATGGAGGAGACGCTGAAGAAGGCGCGTTCATGTTTAAACTGGTCCCCGTACGACCGCGTTCGCGTGGTGAACGCCGTTCCTTGAGGACTTCTCCCGGCGTTTCTCTCCGCCTATCCCTCGCTTTCAATCCCCGCCCGCGTTGCCTTTCAACTCCGCTTCTGACGCACCCCTGAACTCCACCCCGACTTCGCTTCGTACGGAACGGCCCTAAGATAAACGCGTGGCACTGCCGCGGGAGGTGCGTCGTCGGCGGCGGCGGGAAGGGCGTCGGGTACCTCGCGCACGGGACCGCGACGGACTGGATGTACGTCGCGCGGGGAGTCCCCGTGGCGTTCACGTGGGAGATTTACGGCGACGTGGACGCGCATTACGACGACTGCTTCGCGATGTTTAATCCAATCGGGAAGAGAGCGCACGACGACGTCGTCGAACGGTGGGTCGCTGCCGCGGTGACGCTCGTCCCGCTCCTGCGTCACCACCCGGACGTTCCGGCGATGGTCGGCGGCGAGAGGGCGTCGCCGACGAAGAAGCCTCCGGCCGCGGCCGCGGACGCGGAGAGGAGAAGCGCGGGAGGGGGCGGGGGCGGGACGGCGGCGCCGCGCGCGGGGAACGAGGCCGCCGCGTCGTCGTCGTCGTCGTCGTCGTCGTCCATCCCGCGGTTCGCGTTCGTCCTCGCGTGCGCGGCCGCGTGCGCGTGTTACCACTGCGCGGGACGGAGAAGACGCGGCAAGCGGGCGCGGAGCCCGCGCGGTCGAAGACTCGTCGGCCCGTTCGCGGTGTGATAGAGTAGAGTACACTAGAGGCGATGACGAAACGGCGCGAGTCAGTGAGTCTCTTCTCGTCGTTGATAAATCGCGAAGACTCCTCACACAGGTTGCGCGCGTCGTCGGGTCGGTCCCGTCCGTCCGACGCGCGGTCACAAATGACGCCCCGACCCGAGCCGCCCCGTTCGATATCGCGATCGACGATCGATGAACGCGCCCGGGCCGTCGTCGCGCGCGCGGTCGCCGCGTCTTCGCGGAGACGCGACGCGACCGCCTGTCAAAACACCCCAAACATCCCCCCACCCACCCGCCACCCACCCCAGTAATCATTCCCTCCCTTCCCGTCGTCTAAACTAGCTATTCGCCGAGGCGACGCGCGCGTCGTCCGTTTCGTTCCCTCGTCGTCGCGAGGGGGCGTGCGTCGTCGCTCGCTCAAAACTACCGACCGATCGCCCCCCCGCCCGCGGCGATCGCGCGTCCGCCGTTCAAACCCCCGTCCGTCCGTCGGCGCCCGCGGCTTAAAAGTCCTCGTCCAGAGAGAAGTTCGTGGTGCCGCCGTTCCCCCCCCCGAGCGATCCCATGACGCCGCTCTTCTGGTACTCCCCGACGCGCTTCTCGAAGAAGTTCGTCTTCCCCTGAAGAGAGATGAGCTCCATGAACTCGAACGGGTTCACCGTGTTGTATTCCTTCTCCAGCCCGAGTTGCCCGAGGAGGTGATCCGCGACGAACTCGATGTACTCGGACATGAGATCTTTGTTCATGCCGACGAGGGAGACCGGGAGGGCGTCGCAGACAAACTCCTTCTCGATCTCGACCGCCTCGCAGACGATCTGCCTCACGATGGAGACGTCCGGCTTGTTTTGCAGGTACGAGTAGAGCAGGCACGCGAAGTCGCGGTGGAGGCCTTCGTCGCGAGAGATGAGCTCGTTGCTGAACGTGAGCCCGGGCATCATCCCGCGCTTCTTGAGCCAGTAGATGGAGCAGAACGACCCGGAGAAGAAGATGCCCTCGATGCACGCGAACGCGATGAGGCGCTCGGCGAAAGTAGCGGAGCTGTGGGAAGGAAGGAAGGAAGGAAGGAAGGAAGGAAGGAAGGGGAGGAGGTGAGCGGGGGCGCCGGTTGGTTCAAAAATTGGTTGATTGTAGGCACCCGACGCGAGGGGCGTTCAAACGCGGCGGGCGGCGAGGAGACGCGACGCGACGCCGCGCACCTCTCGATCCACTTGAGCGCCCAGTCCGCCTTCTTCGCGACGCACGGGATGTTCTCCATCGCTTCGAAGAGGTACTTCTTCTGCGCGGCGTCCTTGATGTACGCGTCGATGAGGAGAGAGTACATCTCTGTAGGAGAGAGCGAGGGAGGAGGAAGAGGGGAGGTGAGTCGAGACGAGGCGACAACGGGAAAAACTTCGCGGTCGCGTGCAACGGCTGATGACGTCACGCGTGCGGGGGAACGTACCGCTGTGGATGTTCTCGATGGCGATCTGGAAGCCGTAGAACGCGCGGGCCTGATGGAATCGAGGAAGAACGGCGTCAGATTACGCTCGGGGTGCGCGTGCATCGAGATACCCGGGCGGCTCGCGCGCTCGAATTCAAAACCTCTCGCGTCGTCGCGGCGCGGGGAGAAAAAAACACGAAAAGCGAAAAGGACGCGCACCTCCGGAATCTGCACCTCGCCCATGAAGCGAACGCCGAGGTTCTCGAGGACGATGCCGTCGGACGCGGCGAAGAACGCGAGGATGTGAGAGATGAAGTGCTTCTCGTCGTCGCTGAGCTTCTCCCAGTGCTTCATGTCGTCGCTGAGGTCGACCTCCTCGGCTGCGAGAGAAAACGAGGCAACGTTCGGATTGTCAGATTTCCCGGGTTGCCAACTCGCCGGGGAAGCGCGCGATACGGCGCCGCGAGCACGATTCGAGGCGCGGAAACGCGCGAGAAAGCGAAAGGGGATGGGTTCGTCGCGCACCCGTCCAGAACGAAGCCTCGGCCTTCTTGTACATCTCCCAGATGTCCCCGTACTTGATGGGAAACATCGTGAAGCGCTCCGAACCCGCGGCGTCGAGGATGGGTTCGGGTTTGCGTTCCGCGAGGGCGTTAGACTCGGCGACCATGATGTCGGTGAGGTGTGTTCGTTGCTGGTGCGTGCGTGTTGTTGACGGTCGAACGAAGCGCGCGAGCGAAACGTCGATGTTCGTGTGATCCGGCGTGCGGGCGCGAGGCAGAGTGCCGTCGCGTGAGAGACGAACGCGAAAACTGTTCATTCGCAGTTCAAAAATCTGGGAGGTGACGTCGACGATACCACGGAAAGGACGCGTACGCAGTACGCGCCCACTTCCTATGGGCAAACGCAGTCGTCCTATCTAGAATCGCATACGAAAGTACGGCCGCGCGTAGTACACGATACCTCCGTGGGAATTCGCCTCGCTGCCGGTCTTAGGCGACGCCGGACGCGCTCGCGTCGCTCTCTACAAGCGCGCGTTCACACGCCCGACGTATACACACTCCATACAAACGTAATGGGGAAAGTGCACGGCTCTCTTGCCCGTGCCGGCAAGGTGCGCGTCCGCTCGCGCGCGTCGTCTCGTCGCGTCTCCGTCGTCGCTCTCCGCGCGCGCAATCGCTCGCTCGAGGAAGAAATCTCACCCGCGTCCCACCCCCCCTCCGGAAACCGCCGTCAATCGTAACAGGTGCGCGGTCAGACCCCGAAGGTCGCCAAGCAGGACAAGAAGAAGCTGCCCAAGGGTCGCGCCATCAAGCGTCTCAAGGTGCGCGTCGCTCGCATCGCTCGCGCGGCGTCCTCCTCGGACGAAGACCCTAACGATGTTTTTTCCTGCTCTCGGAGGCGGAAGAAATGCCGCGGCAGCGGCAGCGTCTCGGCCCCCGATCTCCCCCGCTGACCTCGCCGCTCCCCCCCGCCCCCGCATCCCGCGCCGCCACCCCTCAACAGTACAACCGCCGCTTCGTGAACGTCGTCGTCGGCCTCGGCAAGAAGCGCTCGCCCAACTCTAACGCGCAGTAAAGCGGCATCCCGAGCCCACGACGGTGACGACGAACGATGATGAACGTCGGTCGTGTGTGTCGCGCCCTGTGCCGGCGCGTCGGGAACGGGTTAGCGCGGAATAGCATCAGTAGTAACACGACGCGGCGGGTCGGGCACGGGGTGTTCGACGCGCCTCGGTCCGTCTTCGTCTCGGCCGTCGGTCGCGGCGACGCAGGTACGTCGCCCTCCGGCCCCGCGCCTCGCGCGGTTCGTTTCGTCCGCCGCGATGAAAGAAACCCTAGCAGCGGAGAGCACACGCGTCGAACGCGTCGACGACGGACTCGAACTCGACGACTGACGCCTCCTCCCCCGTCCATCCCGCAGACGACGACGAGAAAGAGGGCGGAGCGGCGGTCGGCGAGGCCGCGCGTGTCCGGTCGGTCGAGCTCGGGGGCGACCTCGAGGACGACGCGGACGTCTACGCCGAGCGGCGCAGCTCGAGGGACCCTTCGGAGATGAAGCCCGAGCTCGTGCGCCGGTACGTCTCTTCGGAGCACTTCAACGCGCGCGAGAGGGCCAAGGCGGAGCGCGCGGAGATCCGCGCGGGGTTCCAGCTGCATCCGCACGACGTCGGCGGGAGCGAGGTGCAGATCGCGCAGCTGTCGCATAAGATATCGCACCTCACGGAGCACTTCAAGGCGCGCCGGAAGGACGTGCACTCGCGCATGGGACTGCAGCGGATGCTGGAGCGTCGAAAGAAGCTCATGCGGTATCTGCGACGCACGAACGGGGACTCGTACGGGGACGTGATCTTTCGTCTCGGGTTGAAAGATCCGAAGACGAACGACCCCGCGGGCGGCAAGTACGCGTATCGCGACGAGCAGATTCGCGCGCGGCTGAGAAAGAAGGGGAAGAAGTGACGAGGAGCGAATGGATGGATGGTGACTGTCTCGATTTGCGTTCGCGGCGGCGGCGTCCGAGGGCGCGGGCGCGTCGCGGGGCGAGGGTTTGGGGTGAGAGTTTGCGGGTCGCGTTTCGCTCGGGGTATCATCTCGTGGGAACGCGTCGTTGTAACGCGAGCGAAACGTCTTTTCTTTTGAGATTCGTCGTCGTCGAGGCGTCGCGCGGTCGCGAGGCGCTGTCGCGACGTCGCGGAGCGCGCGGCAACGGGGCGCCGGTCTTCAAGTCTGTTCCGGTGCCCATGTGAGCCACTTCCAGTCTCGCTCCCGTTCAAATCTCAGCGCGCGTTCCCCCCCGCGGCCGGGCGGGCTTGATGCTGAGGAACGCGCTTCGGACGTGCGCGTCGTGTTCCGCGTCGTCGTTGAGTGGTGACTGCGCGATTCGAGCGCGCGTCATGAGCGGCGTCGCCGCGTCGTGCGCGTCGAGCGCGCCCCAAAGCTTCCGCGTCGGTCTCGTCGTCGCGCGCGAGAAGCGATGCTCCGCGAACGCGCATCGCGCGCGCGCGCGCGGGAACGCGACCGCCGCGGCCGCCGCGGCGAGGAAACCGAGGTCGACGAAGCTCGCGCCGACGCCGACGCCGACGCCGACGCCGACGCTGACGGCGCTGCGCGGCCGCGTCGTCGCGTCCTCGGCGAGCGAGGACGTCGCCGCGCGCGAGCGCGTCGTCGAAGAGGAGCGCGCGCCCAACGGATGGTTTCTCGTCGGGTGCGACTCCGACGCCGGCGGCGCGCTCGCGGTCGTCCGCGGCCCTTCCACGGGCGTGATCACCTCCGTGGACGTCATCGACGCGCCGACGATGAAGGTGGAGGTCAACGGCCGCGCGCGCGTGCGCTTAGACGTCGACGCGATGTGCGCGGCGGTGCGCGATTTGCGCCTTCCCCCGGGCACCGTCGCGCACGTGGAAGAGGGCGGCGTGGAATACGGCTTCAGCGCGCAGACCGCGTTCGTGCAGGGGTACAACTTCGGTCTGTGGAAGGGCGTGTTAGCGTCCGCGGGGTTGACCGTCGTCGTCGTGAAGCCGCAGGCGTGGAAGTGGGCGTTGGGTCTCGCGCGCAAGGGCGCGGGGGGGAGCAAAGACGAGTCGCGCGCGATGGCAAAAGCGCTGTTTCCCGAGGTGGAGGACGCGCTGAAGCGAAAGAAAGATCACGGCCGCGCGGAGTCGCTGCTGATCGCGGCGTACGGGCACATGGCCGCGAACGCGCGGCACGTCGGCGGCGCGAGCGACCCTCTCTGCGCGCGCGTGCGAGACATGGTCGCGGGGGCGGTTGAACGCGAAGAAAACGAAGACGCGAGCGACGCCGGCGACGGGACGTCGTCGAGGCCGGGCGGGCTGCGCGCGCGCCTCGGCCCGGACGACCCGCTGCCGTACTTTGGTCCGTACTTTGGCATGACCGGGAAGGAGCTCTCGAGGGAGGCGAAGTCGAGGGGGCTGAAGTGCACGGGGAAGAAGATGGAGCTCGTCGAACGGTTGGAGGCGGCGGACTTGGCGACCGCGGCGAGGGGGGAGAGGGAACGGGAACGCGGCACCCTGGAAGACGGAACGTCAACCGTCGCGACGACCGGCGCGGACGACGTCGCGGAGGTGGCGAGCGGCGAGCGTTTCGCGAAGGAAGCGAGCGCGTAGCGTGTAGCGTGTATGATGAGTGAAGGAGGCCGCTCGACGCCGCCGTCCGTAAACGCCGACCGACGACTTCTGTTTACAGCTTGAACGTGTTATCCGCCGCTCAGCTCGACATCACTTCACGCCGCGCGCGGCGTCGGCATGGCGTCGAGCGCGCGCGTCACCGCGCTCCCGTCGCGCGTCGGCCGCGTCGCGACGCGCGGGGGAACCGCCGCTCCGGCTCCGGCGGCGGCGCCGGCGCGCCTCGCGTCGCCGGCGCGCGCGTCGGCGTCGCGCGGACGCGCGCGCGTCCGGACGAACGCGGCGGAGATGATGGGCGTACCGCTGTACCCGGACGACCTTCTCGAGGTGCGACGCGCGCCTCGCCGGGCGTCGCGGCGCGCGCGCGTCCTTCTCGCGCGCGCGGTCCAGTCCAGTCCAGTCGTCGCCTCGACGCTCCGGGGCGTGCTCTCGTCGTTCGTTCGTCGCTCTCGATCTCATCGATCCGTCCTCTTCCAACCATCTCGCGTCGTCGCAGGCGTGCGCGCCGTGGGGTAACGTGTGCGTCGTCGCGGGCACGCACTACATCCCCATCGCGCTGCCGTCCATCTTAGGCACGGTCTTCCTCCTCGCGCCGCTCGTGGCGATATTCCTCAAGCTTCAAGCCGCGGAGACGCGCGTGCGGACGCTCGAGGAGGAGCTCGCGAAGGTCGCCGCGAACGTTGATGGGAATAAAAAATTATAAAACGACCGCGACTGGTTACTTCTTGAAGAGCCCCGAGATGGCGTCCTTGACCGCGTCGCGCGTCTCCTGCTTCCCCCCGAGCGCGAACCCGCCCGCGAACGCGACCGCGCTCATCCCGACCGCGCACGCCGTCAGCGCGCCCGCGGACCACCCGCTGCGAACGCCGTCGCCGCTCGAGAAACGCGTCGTCGATCCGAATCCGTCCTCCCCTCGTCGCCGCGTCGGCGGCGCGGGCGGCGGCGGCGGCCCCCCCGCGCGGTGCGCCTTCTCCAACCGCTTCGCCGCGGTCCAGCTCTCCTTCTCCGCGGCTCTGCTCGGGCACGGCCCCGCCGCGGGACCGAACGAGTACGGGCATCGTCGCTTGACCTTATCCGCGGCGCCGCGCACGGCGGCGGCGAGCGAGACGCGGAAGGTGTTTGGCTCTCCCGCCAGCGCCGCGTTGCCCGCGCCGAAGCGCCGCTCGCACATGCAGCCGAGCATGATGACGTCGAAGACGAGGTCGCCGAGCTCGTCCTGGACGCGCTTACGCGCGGCGACCGCGAGCTCGGACTTTGGGCCGGTCGCGCCGGGGGAGGAGGACGCGCCGTCGGCGTCCGATGCGTCCGTCGCGTCCGTCGCGTCCGTCGCCGTCGCCGTCGCCATCGCATCCTCCGCGGCGCGGATCTCCTCCTCGACCTCCGCGAGTTCCTGCGAGCGAGAGAGGGGATGAGGAACGGGACGGGACGCGCGGGGTCGAGTCAGTCGCGGAGTCGCCACGAGGGAGGGACGGGCGGCGTATGCGACGGGAGGAGGGGGCTCGGGGGGATCGGACGACGACGCGCGCGATCGCGTCGCGCACGCACCGAGAGCGTCCACTCGACCATCTGATGCGCGTCCACCTCCTGGCACCAGAACGTGCCGTTCGCCTCGACCGGGGCCATGACCCGGCGGGTGACTTCGAGGAGGTCGCACAGCGACGCGCGCGCGGGCGCGTCCGCGTCCTTCATCGCGGCGGAGACGGGGAGCGCGCGCGACGACGAGTGCGCGCGAAGCGTCGCGAACGCGATCAGAACGTCAACTTCGCTCGCTCGCGCTCGCGTTCGTCAAACGGTCGTCCCGAACTAAGGCGTCCTCGGACGACGCGATGACGCGCCCTCGCGGGGCGACGACGGCGCGCCGCCGCACTTCGACGCGCGCGCGGCTCCGCGACTCCGCGACCGCCGCGCCCGCCGCGCCCGCCGCGCCGGCGAGAGACCAACCCGCGAGACGCCCGCGGCCCGCGGACCCTCGCGCGCGTCGACTCGGCCGAGGGAACGAAGGCGCGATCGAGAAGAAACATTCACGATGACGCCGACGACGACCCCGGACGAGGAGACGAGGAGGAAGCCTCCGCCGGCGGGGTTCAAGGAGGAGCTTCCCGAGCGCGTCATCGCGGCGTCGCGCCGCCCCGACGGATCGATGCGCAAGGAGATACGCGTGCGCGCGGGGTACGTGAACCAGGACGAGGTGCGGCGGTACGTCGTCAGAGGCGCGAGGGGTCGCGGCGACGCCGCGGGCGGCGGCGGCGGCGGCGGAGGGGGAGCGGGCGGCGTTCCCGGAGCGTTCGCGGAGGAGGCGAAGAGCGACGCCGCGAGGAAGAACGCGAGGAAGAAGGCGGCGAAGAAAGAGAAGGAGAAAGAGAAAGAGAAGGACGCGAGAGCGAAGTCGGGCGAGGGAGGAGACGAAGAGAAGAAGACGAAGACGACCCCCCCTGCCGCCGCCGCCGCCGCCGCCGCCGCGCCCGAGGACGAGGACCCGGCGCGCGCGCTCTCGAAACGCGCGCGCGCGGCGAAGAAAAAGGTCAGGGCTTGCGAGGACCTCGCCGCGAGAGCGCGCGACGGCGCGGATCTGGACGACGACCAGAGAGCGAAGCTGGAGAAGATGGCCGCGTTCGCCGCGGAGGCGGAGGCGCTCGAGCGACAGCTGGCGGCGCTCTCCACCGGCGGCGGCCGCGACGCGACGACCGGCGCCGGCGCGACGCTCGCGCGCCCCTAGCGTAGACGTCTAGCGAACGAGGATCACGACGAGCGTCCTCTCGACGGCCGAGAGCTTCATCGCGCGCGGCGGCGCGTCCGTCGGACGCTCGCCGCGCGCAGCCGCGGCAGTGTCGCCAGCACTGGTAGTGGCGCCAGTGCATCGCCATCGCCCTGCCAGCCGCGTCATCACGCCCCCGTTATCTGATCTTCGCTCCCGCTGCCCGTCGAGCGTCACACCGCCGCTCCCGTCGCGGGCTGCGATGTCGTGCGCGTCGTGCCGCGCGCCGCGCGCGCCGACGGCGTCGTCGTCGCGCCGCGGTCGCGCGTCGCCGTCCTCGCGGTCGCCGCCCGCGTCGCGGCCGTCCGCGCGTCGAGATCTCGCGAGCACCGCCGCTCGCGGAGAAAAATGTGTTCGTCGTCGACGCGACGCCGTCGCGACGGACGCCTCGCCCGCGGGCACGCTCGTGCTCACCTCCCCCGAAGGCTGGGACGTGTCGTACGGCACGGAGACGCAGCTCTCCGAGATCAGCGACGTCCAGGCGACGTCATTCTTCGAGCCGAGCGCGTTGCCGCTGCTCGATCCTTTCCTCCTGGAGTCCTTCCGCGGCGACGTGTCCACGACGCTCGGGAGGAAGTACGAGTACCTGGACAGCCGTCGGTTCGCGCCGCTGGTGACGACCGCGTCGCGCGACGACGAGGACGAGTCATCCGCCACGCGACGGTGGCCGTCGAACGCGAGCTCGGACGAGCGGCCGAGGCCGGTCGTGGGCGTCGTGGAGCTGTCCATCCAGAGGGACGACGACGTGCTCAAGTTTTTATCCAACGCCGCCAGCAAGTTCTCGCCGTGCTACGGCGACGACGGCGACGACGCGTGCGACGCCGCGAGCGGGGACGACTGGAACGACGGCTTGGGGACGAACGGCGGGGACATGCAGCGGTGGGCGGACGCGAGGCGCGCGAGGATGAACGCGGAAGAGGACGCCGCGGCGGCAGCGACGACGGCGACGACGACGCGCGCGCCGACGCGCTCCCCGCGGCCCGGACGCTGGCGCGGCGGCGCCCCCGCGGACGAGTACGCGTACGTCTCGTGCATGTGCGTCGCGGACGCGTACCGAAGACGCGGCATCGCGGACGCGCTCATGAACGCCGCCGAGGAGATCACGCTGCGATGGGGCTACGACGTCGCTTGTCTCCACGTGTACCAACGCAACGCGGGCGCCATCGCGTTGTACCGCCGCCGAGGGTACGAGATCGTGGACGACGGGTGCCCGCCGTTCGACGCGATGCTCGGGAAGCGGCGGTTTCTCATGATGAAGCGTTTGCGGGGGCGGGTCGTCGGGGAGGAGTATCAGGATATCGACTGAGTGACGACCGCGACGGATGGACGAGAACGTCGCCCGTCGTACCACACTACTAGAGCTAGGACTACATGTAACCGACCCGCCGCGTGCGTTACATAACGTTCGCGTCGCGTCGCGTCACGACGGCCCGCCTTCCGCGCCTTTCAGCCGCACCGTGAACGCCACCTTCGCCCCCCCTCCCGGCGACAGCGGCGTCGTCTCCGCCGAGACGTTCGACTCCAATCCCAGCGCCGCCAGCGTCCCTCGAATCACGCCGCACGGGAACGCCGCGCGCGCGTCGCACTCCGCGCGCGCGATCGCCGCCTCCTCCTCGAGCGTCCGCCCCGCCGCTCGCACGCGGCGCATCCACGCGAACGACTCGTCCGTGAGTACGTACACGCCGCGGTTGTTGGTCTTGAGGTTGTCAACGCGTTTTTTGAAGCACCGCGTCCACCAGTCCTTGCACACGAACAGGATCGCTTCGGTGGGCTCCGTGAACCGCGTCGCGCGGTCTCGCGTGTATCTGCGTCGGAGCGTGCGTGCGCGGCGTCAGGAAGGGTCGCGCCGCGTCGCGTCGACGAAGGGATCGGAAGGGGACGGGCGGCGTGGAGTGGTGGACGGAGGAAGCGATCGAGGGGACGAGACTTTGTTGGACGGACGCGCGCGCACCGCTCCGCGAGCTTCACGCCGACGTCGAACCCCGCGCGCGTCATGACCCTCCTCCCGTCCTCCCCTCGCTCGCGCTGCGCGTTCACGAGCTCCGCGAGAAGGAACTCGAGCGCGGCCTCGGAGACCTCGCCTCCGCGATCGCTCGCGCTCGGCGCGGGCGACGCCATCCCGCGCGCGGCGCGTCGAGATCTCTGACGACGAGGTCAGACGTTTGCGCGTTTCCTTTCTGTTCGTCGTCGTTCAGAACGCGAGACGCGATGGTGGCGGCGGCGGCGGCGCTGTCGCTGTCGTACCTCAGCGTCGGATGCAACCGCGCCGTGCGCGCCGGGGACTGGTCCGCGGAGGACTGCGAGGGCGGCGAGCTGTACGCGTACGGCGCGCACGATCGCGTGGTGATATACGACCCGTCGAGCGCGCGCGCGCTTCGCACGACGCCGCCCGCGCATTCCGGGCGCGTGAGCTGCGTGCGATGGATCCCCGGCGGCAGAGGACGCTGGCTCGTCAGCGGCGGCGCCGACGGCGCGGTGATCGTCTGGCGCAGAGAGGACGATCCCGAGGAAGGCGTTCACGACCGCGGCGACGCGCACGCGTGGCGCGCGGTCGCGCGAGGGACGCACGCCGGCCCGGTCACGGACGTCGCGACGCACGTCGTCCGCGACGGCTCCGGCGCGCCCGGCGCGCCGGAGCGCCACCTCATCGTCTCCACCGCGCACGACTGCGTCGTCCGCGCGTGGCTCGCGGACCTCGCGTTCTTGCGCATCGCGTGCGCGTCGGACGACGCCGACGCGGCGCGATCGCCGCCGCCGCCGCTCAGCCTTCGATCGGTCGGCGAGCTCGAGATGCCCCGCGGCCGCGCGCCCCTCTGCGCGGCGGTACACCGCGCGCCCGCGCGGGGGCCTGGCCGAGCGGGGCCCGCGACTACTGACGGAGACAACGTCCTCGTCCTCGCGATCGGATGCGCGGACGGCGCGGTGAAGATCTTCGCGTGCGATGCGGACGACGTCAGGGACGCGTACACGCGTTTGCGACTAGAGGACCTCGCGACGTTGGACGGGCACGCGGATTGGGTCCGTGGGGTGACGATGACGCCGGACGCGGAGGACGCGTTTGAAGATGGAACGTCAACCGGCGCGACCAACCCCAACAACCCCGGTCTGCTCCTCGCGAGCGCGTCGCAGGATAGGACCGCGCGGATATGGCGGCTCGAGCTCGCGGAGGTTGGGGACGGCGACGACGGCGGGAAGGACGGCGTCGACGACGAAACGCCGGCGTTCGCGAAGCTCGCGGCGCCGCCGCGGCCGCCGGCGAGAACGTTCGGAGGGACGACGCGTCTCAAGACGCGCCTGGAAGCGCTTCTCGTCGGGCACGAGGACTGGGTGCTCTCCGCGACGTGGCGGCCGAGGCGCGGCGGCGGGGGCCCGGGTCGCCCGTCGCTGCTGACGTCGAGCATGGACCGCTCGCTGACGCTCTGGGTCGCGTCGGACAGCGGCGCCGGGCGAGACGCCGCCGCCGCGGGCGGCGGCGGCAGCGTCTGGATGGCCGCGGCGTCCATGGGCGAGGCCGCGGCGTCGTGCCTGGGGTTCTACGGCGCCGCGTTCAACCGGACGGGCGACCGGATCATCGCGCACTCGCACGGCGGCGCGCTGCACGCGTGGAGGGAGGAAGACGCGGGCGAGGGGAGCGGCGGCGGCGCGTGGACGCCGACGCCGGCGACCGCCGGGCACGCGGGAGACGTCGCGTGCGTCGCGTGGGACGTCAACGGACGCTACCTGCTCACGTCCGGGATGGACTTCACGACGCGGTTGCACGCGGACTGGCGCGGCGGCGGCGGCGGCGGCGGCGCGAAGGGGTGGCGGCAGATCGCGCGGCCGCAGGTGCACGGGCACGCGATTCGATGCGTCGCGACGTTGCCGGCGCCGGCGCCGACGGATGGCGACGACGACGCGTCCACGTCTTCCTCCATCGTCGGGTCCACCGTGTTCGTCAGCGGCGCGGATGAGAAGATCCTGAGGGTGTTCCGATCCCCCGGGACGTTTCTGGGCACGCTCGGGGAGTCCCTTCCCGCGTCCGCGTCCGCGGCGAGGGCGGCGTTCGCGCGCGCGAGAGCCGCCGCCGGCGACGCCGCCGGCGCGGAGCTCCCGCAGCTCGGTCTCTCGAACAAAGCCGTCGACGACGCGAACGGGCGCGACGGTTCGACTGACGAACCGTCGCGCGACGAATCGTCCGGCGGCGGCGGGTTCGACGACGACGTCGTCGCGTCCGTCACGCCGACCGTCCTCGCCGCGCCGCCGACGGAGGAGACGCTCGCGCAGGCGACGCTGTGGCCGGAGACGTGCAAGCTGTACGGCCACGGCGACGACTTGTCGTGCGTCGCCGCGCATCCGTCCGGGAAGCTCATCGCGAGCGCGTGCGAGGCGAGGCGCGAGGGCGCGGCGGACGTGTGGATTTGGGAAGCGAGCGCGAGCGGCGGCGGCGGAGGAGGAGGAGGAGGAGGAGGAGGAGGAGAATCCGGAACGACGACGACGACGACGACGAGCTGGCGGCCCGCGGGACGGCTGCCCGGCGCGACGCTCACGGTGGTATCGCTCGCCTTCGCGCCCCGCGGCGCGCGAGACATGCTCCTCGCCGCGTCGCGCGACCGCCACGTCTGCGTGTACGTCCCCGCGCGCCCCGGCGCGGCGGCGTACGGCGCGTGGGGCGCGGACGGGTGGCGGCTCGCGCGACGAGCGAAAGCGCACGCCAAGGCGATTTATTCCGCCGCGTGGGCGCCGCCGCCTCCGGCGTCCGCGGAGTCCCCGGACGAGAGCGTCTTCGCGACGGGCGCGAGGGATCGAAGAGTCAAGCTGTGGGTCGCCACCGCGTTCGACGCGCGCGGTCCGAACGGCGCCTCGACCGGGGACGCGGACGTCGCGGAGTCCCCCGCTTCGTCGTCGATCCCCGCGTTCGACGCGGCGGCGACGGCGGTGGCGTTCGCGCCGCCGCGATCCCGAGACGGAGGAAAGCGAGGACGTCTCACGCTCGCGATCGGGCTCGAGGACGGGCGCGTGCGCGTGTGGTCCGGCGGCGGTTTCGGCGACCGCGACGCGCCTTGGACGGAGCTGTGCGTCGTGAGCGCGTGCGATGGGCACGCGGGCGCGGTGCGCGCGTTGGCGTGGCGAACGGTCAACCGGGGGCGCGACGACGACGACGATTTAAACGGCGACGCGGACGGCGACGCGCGCGGGGACGGCGACGGCGGCGGCGGCGGCGCGACGCTCGCGACCGTCGGCGCGGATCATTCCGTCCGTCTCTTCGACCTCATCGGAGTTTAGCGCGCGCTTTGTCGGTATCGCGCGGCGTAGCGCCTAGCTAGTCGTCGGCTGACAAATCGTATTTTTTCGGCGGAAGGCTCGTCGCGAAAGCGAGCAGAGCGAGCGCGAGCCGCGGGCACCAGATCAACTCGCGCGCCGACACGCCATGAAGCTCCTCACCTCCCTCGCCGTCGCGCTCGCGCTCTTCGGCAACGCGGACGCGGTGACCGTCCTGGGCAAAGACAACTTCGCGGACGTCGTCGTGAACGGCGGGAAGAACGCCATCGTCAAGTTCTACGCCCCGTGGTGCGTCGCGTCGTCCGCGCGCCCTTCTTCGCGCGACGATCCATCGATCGATCGATCCGATCGATCGCGCGATCGATCGCGCCATCGATCGTCCGTCTCCGATCGGACGCGGCTGGATCTCCGCGTCCCTCCCCCGCCATCGCTCCATCGTCGACGTTCCAACGTTCCCCCCTCCCCCCCCCCTCCCTCCGATCGTCGATCGATCAGGTGCGGCCACTGCAAAGCCCTCGCGCCGACGTGGGACGAGCTCGGTGACTCCTACGCCGCCTCGAACTCCGTCGTCGTCGGCGACGTCGACTGCACCGTCGAGGAGGATCTCTGCGGCGACCACGAAGTCCGCGGGTACCCGACGCTGAAGTACTTCACCCCGGAGACGGGCGAGAAGGGCGAGAGCTACGAGGGCGGGCGCGACCTGGACGACCTGAAGGCGTTCGTGGAGGAGAAGCTCGAGGTCAAGTGCGATCCGGAGACGGCGGAGGATCCCGAGTCGAAGTGCTCCGAGAAGGAGAGGGCGTACGTCGCGAAGATGCGGGAGAAGACCAAGGCGGAGAGGAAGACCGCGCTGAAGCGGCTCGAGAAGATGAAGAAGAAGAGCATGACGAAGGAGCTCAAGGCGTGGGTCATGCAGAGAATCGTGATCCTCGCGCAGATGTGAGTTGAGCGAGGAGGAACGCCGACGGCGGATGCTTTGTTCGACGCCGCGATCGACAGACAGACGCCGCGATCGATTTCATACGCGACATACGGCGACCGCCGCGCCCATCCTATCCTACGCGTCGCTCGCCTCTCTCCTCTTCTCGCGACTGCTGTCCCTCCCTCTCCGGAACCAATCCCCCCACCGCCCTCGCGCCGCACTTCTCTTCTTCTTCTTCCCTCCCAACCCCGGCTCCGACGCCCCCTCCTCCTCCCCTCGCAACAAGTCGACGCGTCCCGGCAGACCCGCTTCCTTCTCGTGCGGCAGGATCGCCTCGACGCGCACCTCCTTCCACCGCGACGGCGCCCACGCGTTCGCGAAGAGGTTCGGCGCGACCGACGCGACGAACGCGTTCGCGGGGGAACCCGCGTCCGCGTCCGAATCCGCCGCCGCCTTGTCGCGAATCATGACGACCTGGACGTCGCAGCTCGCCTTCGATCCGTCGAGTAAGAACGTGGTCGTCACGAGGTTCCCTCGCGCGCGCGTCGTCACGCTCGCGTTCCACCACGCGTCCGCCCTGAGCGGCGTCCCCAGCGAGCGCTTCAGGCGGTCGTTCGCGTCGATCACCGGGATCGCGCGGTCGCGCGCGATGCGCCACAGGACGAGGTCGTTCAGCACGGACTCGCACACGACCGCGGTCGCGCCCGCGATCGCGAGCGAGACGGCGCCGCGCGCGAGGGATCCGATGCCCGCGCCGCCGCCGCCCGCGCCGCCGCCCGCGCCGCCGCCCGAGGACGAGGACGCCGTCTCGGCGCTCGCGGCGCGGCGCCACGCCGTGGACGCCGCGCCCGCGGTTCGTCTCGCGACGACGCGCGCGAGCATCGCGAGTGTGACGCGACGCGTGGGCGTCGTCGCGTTCAAGAGTTTTGAGGTGTTTTGTTGTTCCGGCCGTTGTTCGTTGCTGACATCATTTCCGCCGTCGCCGCGGGGGCGCGAGCGGAGCGGAGCGGAGCGGAGGTCGTCATGCGCCCTCCCGGCGGAGGCGCGCCCTCCCCCGACGGCGCCGCGCCCGCGCCCGCGCCCGCCCCCGGGGGCGGCTGGGTCTACGACGCGAGCACGGGATACTACCACAACCCCGTCACGGGCACGTACTTCGATCAGCAGCGCGGCGCGTACTCGCACGACGGGCGATGGCTCTCGCACGCGGAGTTCACCGCGATGACCGCGGGCGCGAGCGCGTCGAGGCACCTCGCGCACCCGTCGCTGTCGAGAGGAGGAGGCGTCGGCGACGCGCGCGGCGGCGGCGGCGGCGGCGGCGGCGCGGGGGGAAGGTCGCCGGCGAATCC